AATATTTTAGGAGATGCTGATCTCTCCGAGGAAAAGCTCGGAGAATCTCGTTTCCGAATGTGGATAAGATCAACCCTTCGTTTACGAATGGCGACGGGGATGGTTTCCGTGTCTGATGGCGTTTCCTCCTTCTCTTCTTCTCGGGAAAACTACACGGACACCTATATACGAGGAACAGATGCGCACGTGTGTGCGGCTTAAAGTGTGTTAGACTACCGCAAAATCATCCCCCGAAAATTCTCATTCAAGTAGATCGAAGAGGCGAGGCGATGCAACGTAACGCGGATAGTTTTTTCTTTTTCACCATTTTCGAAATCAGTATTCCACGGAAATTTTTCTCCGATAAAAATTTTCACCCTGCGCGAACACACAACTGTCTGCTATACAAATATACAAGGTATATTTATTATTATTATCACGTATATATGTTTTTCAATTTCCTACTTAAATATATAATTTATATAAGACTCAGAAAAGAGCTATTTATGGAACTAGAATGCGATAAAAATAGATAATCTTGGGTAAAAAAAAATTCCTACGTCATTCTTGGAGGATATTAAGGAAACGTTATTCTAAGGAAAATCATGCTCCGTTCTCAATTGTCACATAATGATAAAATGGATTTTCCATTATTGTCGTATTTCGTAAATCGAAATAATCGCAGTTGTGGAAATATCAATGTTATACGAAATATTGTCGAGGAAAAAAACTTTGTGCGCGAGAAGCGATACGTGCCGAAGCGTGATTTCTTTCGGATCTTCTATATTTCTGTAGGAAGAAATTCCCGTTTCTTCAAACAGCAGCGCGATTTTGCAACAGAGACAACGCGCGAAAATAAATGTCCGCACGGTCGTTAACGCGGACGGAACGGATTGCCATCGTTATTGCGAGCGTTTCATCTCCATTAACGATGACACATTTCCGGCGTCATGACGATGAAAGCGCGAATATATGTATGTAGCCCTACCCGAGCGGAGCGAGAGAATGAGCGAACGACAAGAGAACGATAGAAAGAAAGTAGGTCTCTGTCAGAAACGTCCGCCATTGAAAGTGTTATATTTTCGCTGACGGGGAGAATATTAGGAAGAAATTTACAATGACAATGCCATGCGCACGTGTGAGAGAATCATCTCACTAAAGAAAATCCTCTCAAATTTCGAATAAATTTTTTACAATGCACGCGCGCGACATCTCGAATTATTCTTGTTATCGCAGACAAATGCGTCCGAGCTTTTCTTCTTTTTGTTTCTCTTCTTCTCTTCAGACCACGAGGGACGCAGAAGCGAGCCGTAATATTTCGAGCGGCAAGCTTTTTAAAAAAATCAAGAAGATACATGCGAAAAAATGGGAACTGATTGCTGGCGGTAGTGCAAAGATAATCATAAGTATAAAGAGAGTCTGAGTGGATTGAGCTTGAGGAGTGAAAGAGTTTCCTTTTCATGTAATGGCACTCCTCAATCACTTCTTACTCCTTACAGACTTCTACTTGCTTTTACGCTATCGCTTCTTGCCTCATGCTATATCATTGTAGTTTTTACGAGGACGCTTCTTCTCTTACGTGTATTATAAAAGTGTTTCCGGAATTTTTCTTTTCCAAAAGAGAATTTACATTCCTATCAATCAACATATTTACATGGTTGAAGTGCGCACATATATATATATATATAGTATGTACGTCTCTTTTAAATTATTATGCAAATATTTGAGAAATGTCTACACACGTGTATCTCAGACGTTTACATTTATCCTCGAGGTAATTTCGGGAGGCGAAAAGAATCGTTTTAATCAAACTACCGTACATGTAAGGATCTAAATCTAAAATTAAGGAGAGAGATCAATCTCAACCGTATATGCAAAAGCGTAAAGTTCGCTTTAATCAGAGCCACGGCTCGGCTCGAATCGCCGATTCGTGGCTTCCGCGTGCTAATTGCCGCCTTCTTCTTAACGATACGTCGCTCCGAGTACTTTGTAATTCTCTCTCTCTCTCTCTACGTCCCACGAATGTAGAAGCACGAAGAAACTAACGAATATCAACTCGCCGGAGTAACAACAGCTTTTCCCAGGCTTAACACAAGTTCCTCGACTCGCAGACAGGGGAAAATTCAAGTTGGCTCAACCGGATAGTATATAATGCGGAAGATTTACATAGGTCGTACCACCTGGTAGATACATCGCTGCTCGTCGTTTACCCGGCGAGCAGGGCGAGAGAGAGAGAGAGAGAGCGAGAGAGAAGGGTGAATCGCGCACGGTGGTTTTGCGATAGCGGCTCGCCGCGGAAGACGAAGACAGAGGACGAAAGAGGCGGTGGTGGAGAAGAGGACGGAACGGCAAAAAAGCCGCGCTAGGAGGGCGAATGGCGGGCGGCGAGTGGGGTCGAACCGAGCGGTGGCTGAAGGAGGGAATGACCCCGCGTGCACCGGGGTCAACCGTTGCACTGCGCTCTCCGTGTCTCATAGTCATGGACGATCCTCGCGTTTGCGGAGCTCGCTTTGATATACGGGGCCAGGCAACGCCGTGTATACATGTACACGAACGGCCTAGAAGGAATCCACCACCTGAATCTACCCAGAGTCGGATATTGCCTCTGTCTGTTACCCTCTACTCCATATAGTCGCGTGTACGCGCAAGTACGTATGCGCACGAGTCGACGACTTGCTGATGATATTTATGAACACACGCGGGATGAACTTGCTGATGGAGAGATAGCGAGATACGCCGGCGACCGACATTATTTCTCGTTATTGTCAGCTGATATATTTTTAGGTTGCTCCTTCCTCTCTCTCTCTCTCTAACTGGTTTTCTCGTCTAGACGATGTCGACTATTTCTCCCGTATATACTTTGTTTATGTACGAAGTGTGTGAGAAGAAGGAGGAACTCGAGAGTGTATCTTTTCATCGAGATTTCATGCGTGAACAAGTGTGTGAGAGCTTGCGGAATGTAATATCAGAAAAGATAGCTATCACGACGTCGTTTCGTATGTCATGTTTTAGATCTGCCGGAAATATATGTATATCGAGCGGGAGAGCATCTGAGAGCTTATCGCGCGACGTTATAATAAAGTATCGATTTACACGTATCGACATTCCTTAAAACCGACAACATATTACTATTATTAATATTTAGACAAGAAAATGCAACAAATATTTTGACATTTGTTAACGCTCTTAAACGTTAATATCTTTAGAAATTGCAAATCGTCAAGATATATACCGAAAAATTATAATTAAAAAAATAGATAAAAATAATTCTAACATTTAATTGTGTTTCTAAAGAACGCGAGGACGAGAGAAATAAAATGTGCGAAATTTCCACGTACATCTTCCGGTTCTTTCGCGTGCGCTGAATTACGTCACAATGTCAAGTCAGATCTCAGTATCGCGCGGGCGGCTACTCACGGAACAGTGAGCATTCGCATCCGAGAATCGCTTTATGCGCGATCATATTTCTTGGTCAGCCGCATCTTATATTTTTCGTTTAGAACAGCAGATATATCCAAAGAGATATTAAGTCATGACGGATATAACCGTCCTGCATCCATCACAAAATCAAGTTACAGTTACGAGAATATACTATCGCAACATTTCGATATCGATTCCAGGTACGTCCGCATTTAGCAGTTGTGTGTGTGTGTGTGTGTGTCCGCGAAACGCAAGACGCTGTATAAATCACGTTTCTAAGTCGATAATCGAGCGAGACGCACACGAGACAATGAGAACGAGAGATATGCGATAAGTATGTAAAAGCAGTCGATCGATTTGCAGTGTAGTCGCGTTGTCGTGTTGTTAGATTATAATCCAGCAGCAGCTGCTACTGCGATGCATTGTAATTTCTCTAAGGTATAGCTGAAAATTGAGTGCATCGCCGTCTCGTCCGGTGATGGTGCAGCAGCGGTGGGAAATGTAAATGAGAATTTTTTTTCTGATACTTAATGCCCGTCACACGGCGGCACGCCACCGCAGACCGCCTATCCAATTAACGCAATTAGCGATTTCATTAGCACTAATTACATCACGCGTCTAGTATCTCGTCTCCTCCCTTTCTAACGCGTCTATTCTCAGTGGGATGCAACAATGATTGATACCACGCGCGAAACTTGCCGGAGTTTCTATACCTTCCTCTTTTTTTTTTTTGCTCGCGGCATGCAAATCCGGAATAGGCTTGGAAATCCTCTTTGAACTTTTCCAACACAAAAAGAAAGTTTTTATCTCTACGCCGAAAACCTCGTAAAGAAGTCGGAACGGTTTTGAGTCAGCCGCTGTGTTTTCTTTTTTGTACGAGAATTTAATAACCCTTATATCGCTCATTTTACTGCTTCGAAATATGAGATATTCTTAATTTTACAAATTTCACACGCTGTTACTCTTAATCGCAGTCTGCATTCTCAAGAGTCTTTGGCACTTATTTAATTTTTTTTAACAATTAAATATTACTCTTTTAATAGTCGTGTAAGAATGAAGAAAATTAATTTTCAAAAGAATAAAAGTATTTCCGAGTCGGAAATATCTTTGTATTTTCAATCTAATATCTATACTTTAATATTTTAAATTGTCGCTTTCTTTTGAAACTATGCACATTTAATTTAAGTTTTGTCGAAAGCTTCTTTTAAACTTCTAAATATAGGAAACGTTGTTTATATATATAGCTTATTTGAGATACAAAATAAAAATTTAATTCTTATATATGAATATAAAACCTATTCTCTTTAAAAGTCATTAAAAATTGAGAGTAAAAATAATAGATACAAATTCGACTTTGATTTGTACTAATAATTGATAAATCTAAAACTATAATAATAATCTTTAAAGGACCTAAATTTAAAAGGCTTAAAATAAGAAAAGATTAAAATGATTTAACGAGGCTCAGGTTGTTTCGTTTCAATTATAGATCGAGTGGTAAATATTTCATTCGCCAATTTCGATAATTATATATGTCGGATTGCTTCATGGAAAGTTTGCTAAATCGCACAATCAGAGAATAACAATACAAGAAAGGCACTCACCCGTTACGCTGAGCAGCGACATGGTCGGAGGATCCTCAGTTAGTCGGCTGAATTTCTCGAGTTGTCCTTAATCGGCCGAACGGTGCACTAGACGAAGAGATCCGTACGAGAGCTGCTGCACAATGAAAAAAACGCCGGTTCGTAGACTTGTACACTTTTTTTTTTTTTCGTATACGATATGCAGGCTAATACGCGCCGCATATATTCCTAATATACTAATAATCCTCTTTTTTCTTTCCCCCTCTTGCTTTTTTCTCCCTTTTTTGATCTCCCAGTTTCTCTGCTTCCGCTCACTGTGCGCCTCTATCACGTACGATATACGAACGCGGGATACGTGTGTGCATGCATATACATATATATGTATAATGTATGTGTATGTATATATATATATATATATATATATATATATATAATACGCGCGTGTCAAGTGGTCGCGATGTACGCGCTGGTTACACACGAATTGAAAGCTCGCGGTAAGCTCGACACGGCGTTTTTTCCGCTATTTTTCTTCTCTCCTCCTATTTCTGTGTAAACTTCTCGTTGTACACAAAACAATTGTAAAATTTTGTTTACAGTCTGTGACACTCACAGGTAGTTAACCGCTCGACGATCATGACGAAGTGTTCGTCCGCGTACCTTATCGCGCTTACACGGCTTATCTGGATCGACGGGCGACCTGGCTCCTTCTCCTCCGCGTTTCTCTCCTATAACCCCGGTTCACCCCCTTCCCGCCCACTCCCACTGTGTGTACACTGGCCGATGACCGTACGTGACACGAGTTCCTACGTGCTCGTTTGTAACACTGTTTTCTCTCTCTGTATACCGGCGCGATGACGATCGATCGGACGCGGAGATATAGAGAATGACTCGAATACACGTAATATATTAGCCCCGATTGACTTCGCTATCGGTTCGAGTCGCGAAAGGATTTCTCACAGATTATCGTTCGCCGCGTGAATCATCATAATTATCATCGTGCGTATCGTCGAGTACTCGGCGAGTAGTAGTAGCGAGGCACTTGGTCACGCGCAACAACGCAGTCCATCCTGGCGATTGAGAAGTAGGCGATCGTCACTGTTGTTCGCCGATGCCTCGCTATCGTTCGCTATGTTCAGCCGCGCTTTCGGAGTTCCCGCTCGTACCAGATTCTCGTCCTCGTCGTCGACGAGGTAATAATGGTAACAATAGTAGTAGTAGTACGGCAGCGCCAACGCGATTGCTCTGCAGCTGCTGCTGATCCGGTCGTCGGTGCTGTTGCTGTCGTTCCCGTGATGACGTACCGCGCGACGGCCGCGATCCCGAGACAACATCGCCGAGAGAGCGACCCAGGTCTCCGTCGATCGTCGCCGTTGTCCGTCAACCTTGTGGTAAATTCGGCCGAGGGTCGCCCACCGTGCCGCCGCCGCCGTCACCGAGCTTCTCGTTATTATCATAGTAGCGAGGGCTGCAGGGGATGTGCCGTCGCGCGTCTCTCGTGCTTGTCAGGGGAACGTGCACCACCAACGACGCCAGGCACGTCGTCGCCGTCGCTCCGAGGCGCGACCGGTCACGCGCATTTCACCACGGTACCGCGGAGGAACGCCAGGCCGAAAGACAGAGAGAGGACGAAGAGAGTGGAATGACAGAAGGGCGCGAGAACGAAGAGGAAAGAGAAAACGGGGGATGAAAGCGCGCTTCGGGACGAATTTCGAGCGAAAGATTATGGGTAAAGAGAGAAAGAGAGAGAGAGAGAGAGAAAGGAAAGGGAGGAGAAGGGGGATGAAAGGGGCGAAGATCTTGGAAGAAGCACGCGGCACCGCGTAAGAACTCTCGGAGTGATTATTACCCGTACCCCGAACTCACAGAATAGTATCCGTATACCGTTTCCTCTCTCCTTCTCTCCTTCCTTCCCTCTCTCTCTTTCTTTCTCTAGTTCCGGGCACCGCTCGCTCTTCACACCGCTTCCGCGTCGATCGCGGCCGCGTATATAACCCGCACTTCTTCTTCGTTATAGAGGGACAGTAACGTGCGACATAGCGTTACCGGAAGCAGGAACCGTGTCTCACCCGCGTAACGGAAGCGCGGTACCGCGGTCGCGTGCGATCCGCCGCTCGATCTGCCGTAGCCGCGGCGTTAATCTGCTGAAACGTTGTTGCGAACGTACGCGGACTGCTCGACATCGAGCACTGTGCGAACGGAGACGCCTCCGACACGCCGCCGCCATCTTGCTACGTCAAGGGGATGATATAGCGCCGGCGCCGGCAACGGGGATGATAAAAGCCGGCGAGACCCGAGCGAAGTCGGAACCGCCCGACTATTGTTCCGGCGAGACCGCCGGAGACGACCTACCCCCTTTACTTCGCGGCCGCGAGCCACGAATGCCGCGCCGCGCCGGTTGGATTCTCTCTTTGCCTTTGCTTTTGCCACCTATCTTTCTCGACGACCGGGAGTGCAACGTCTTCGAAAATCGTTGCAGACCGCATGCGGATCCCGCGAAAATTCGGATTGCTTTCGCGCGTCAAAATATTCTATTTCGTTCGAGTGCTTTTTTTTATAACGTCGAACAATTACGCCTCTATGCAACTTGAATGATCCTAATTAAAGATATTATTCGAATTCTTCACTTGAGTTTCCGGAGCGAATGCATGTCGCGGGACTCGTTTTCACACGATTGCAAGCGAGAAAGAGAAAGAGGAGATTAATCTCATTGTAGATGCCTAAGCCTGATAACTGCCTACACCGCCATTCGTGATTACTTTACGAGGCGATGGCAATCTCCCTCTCTTTCTCTTTCTTTTTTTCTCTCCCTCTCTCTCTCTAGTTATTTCGAATAAATGCTATCATGAGTCGCTATCATGAAATAGCTATATAAAAAGCTAGTGAAATTGTAGCATGCCGCCGGCACGATTCAATTTATATGCTCGAATGAACGAAAAGTTGCTGTCGATTCCGCGTATAATACGTAATGCAAATACATGTGGAAAATAAAATTTTATTCTCCAAATAACACGCGAAATATAAATAGAATTTATCGCGCAAACGTCTGAGCTTTCCCGATATTGCCAATTCGAGGTACTCCGAGCATTGGCATTACGGTTGGAAAATCGGTTCTCATTAGGATGCATGTGCAAACTGTTTCCTCGTTAGCGTGATAAAGGGTAGTAAATGCGGGGTTGAACGAGCCGAGGGACACGCAACGTCTGGTATTCAGAGTCTCTGTAAACTTCGCAGTGGAATAATAAGGTTACACCAATCGGCCGAACGGTCGAGATAAGGAATTCTGCACGTTGTCAAATAAAGATATTTAATTTGTTCTTTAATTAATTTCGCCAACTTTATTCCCTTTTACGTCTGTGTGACAGATTCGTGAAACTTCTTCGGAGAACTTTGCTATGTAAGCTCGACAACTTTACGCGGATAATGCGCTGCGCGGCAAGTAGTTATGTCGCGCTTTACGCCGAGCCTTAACAAGTAGTAAATCCCGTTCGCGCGAGACGCATGAGCAGCGAGTCGCGTCGCTGACTCGTACTACTGAGAGAGCAATCGGAACTCGCGCCCTACACGATGTACGTAAATGTCACGTCACGTACAAAATAAGAAACATGTGTGCTTTGCATATACAGTCAGTTTATGCATTTAAGAATTAAAAAAGTCCGATCAAGATTAAAAAAAAAATAAAAATCACGAAATTAATTAAACATCGAATTTAATATTGTTAGATTTTATTCATATTAAAAGAATAGTTAAAGAATAATACTATAAAAAATATATAAAAAATGAAAAATCTTCATATACAATATTAAAAAGGTGATTATGTAAATTTTTTTCATTTTTTAATTTTTTAAAGATGTTATTGAATTAGAAAAGAACATCTCATTTCTTCAAAAGTATTAAAAAAAATCTGATGTTATATAATTGCAATGTAAACAAGTAGTACATCTCGTACGCGCGAGACGCATCGTTGACTCGTACTACTGAAACAGCGGTCGGAACTCTCGTTCTGCGATGTAACGAAAAAACATTTGATTTCTTCAAAGGTATTTAAAAAATCTGGTGTTATGTAATTGCAATGTAAACAAGTAGTAAATCTCGTACGCGCGAGACGCATCGTTGACTCGTACTACTGAAACAGCGGTCGGAACTCGCGTTCTGCGATGTAACGAAATAACATTTGATTTCTTCAAAGGTATTTAAAAAATCTGGTGTTATGTAATTGCAATGTAAACAAGTAGTAAATCTCGTACGCGCGAGACGCATCGTTGACTCGTACTACTGAAACAGCGGTCGAAACTCGCGCTCTGCGATGTGCGTAAATGTCGCATCATACAAAATAAGAAACACATGCTTTGCATCTAAAGTTTGTACATTTAAGAATTGAAAAAGTCTGACCGAGATAACGAGATTATTAAAAAAGAATAGAAATTAGGAAATATTAAGAAAAGAAGTATATAAAAAATATATATATATAATTGAAAATCTTCATAATATTAAAAAGGCGGTTATGTATATTTTTAATTTTTTCATTTTTTAGAGATATTATTGAATTGGAAAGAACATTTGATTTCTTCAAAGGTATTTAAAAAATCTGGTGTTATATAATTGCAATGTAAACAAGTAGTAAATCTTGTACGCGCGAGACGCATCGTTGACTCGTACTACTGAAACAGCGGTCGGAACTCGCGCTTTGCGATGTGCGTAAATGTCGCATCATACAAAATAAGAAACACGTGCTTTGCATCTAAAGTTTGTACATTTAAGAATTGAAAAAATCCGACCGAGATAACGAGATTATTAAAAAAGAATAGAAATTACGAAATATTAAGAAAATAAATATATAAAAAATATATATATAAAATTGAAAATCTTCATAATATTAAAAAGGCGGTCATATATGTGTTTAATTTTTTCACTTTTTAGAGATTATTAAATTGGAAAAAACAATTGATTTCTTCAAAGGTATTTAAAAAATCTGGTGTTATATAATTGCAATGTAAACAAGTAGTAAATCTTGTACGCGCGAGACGCATCGTTGACTCGTACTACTGAAACAGCGGTCGGAACTCGCGCTTTGCGATGTGCGTAAATGTCGCATCATACAAAATAAGAAACACGTGCTTTGCATCTAAAGTTTGTACATTTAAGAATTGTAAAAGTCCAACCGAGATAACGAGATTATTAAAAAAGAATAGAAATTACGAAATATTAAGAAAAGAAATATATAAAAAGTATACATATAAAATGGAAAATCTTCATAATATTAAAAAGGCGGTCATATATGTGTTTAATTTTTTCACTTTTTAGAGATATTATTAAATTAGAAAAAACAATTGATTTCTTCAAAGGTATTTAAAAAATCTGATGTTATATAATTACAATATAAACATGTAGTAAATCCCGTTTACGGGGGACGCGTGAGCAGCGAGTCGCGTCGTTGACTCGTACTACTGAAATATCAAAACTCGCGTTCTGCGATGTTCGTATGTGCATAAATGTCGTATCACGTACAGAATAAGAAATACGTGCTTTGCATATAAAGTTCATATATTTAAGAATTGAAAAAGTCCGATCGAGATAATGAGATTATTAAAAAAAAATAGAAATTACAAAATTAATTAAAGATCGAAGTCAATGTCATTATATTTTATTTATATTAAAAGAATAATATTAAGAAAAAATATATATATAAATGTGTGATCATTTACATTTTATCTTTTAATTTTTCAGAGACGTTATTGAATTAGAAACAAATATCTGATTTTTACAAGAGTATTAAAAAAATATGATATACATATAAATATTTTGCACCATAATTCAAGTTATGCAAGCAATAAAAAGAAAAAAGAAGTAGATTGTTTCATTCAGAATTATTTTCTTTGCGTGTATGTGCAAAATTATTTCCGTGTAATTAGGTATAAAGTACGACTTCGACGCGTAAATTATGGAGCAATAAACTGGGACTTAATATCATCAGCAATCGATTATATATTCACATGTGTTGACAACAGATTCTAAATACGGAAAACTTCGTGTAGCACGATATCTACGTTGTTTATTTCGATCTAATCGCTCTGTCGAAACGACATTAGTTATGTAGAGCGATTTCATTGGACCAGATTATAAATAGTTTTTCATGTGCTCCATATTTATCAATAAGAGATGCATCCACGCACGATAGCGGAGCAATATTCTTTTCAGACATCAAGGTATGCGTTACTGTCATACATTGATAAAACTTTTTATTCCGCGAGAGAATACAAACAATAGTTGTTATGTCACAAATAACAAGAGCCGGAAAAAGCGTTTTAAAAATATCGTTGTCATTCGTTTCATTTTGTTTTCACAATGCATTTTACCGATTCCAATATCTTATACGACTATAATTACATGCAGACATGTAATAATATCAATAATGATTAACCACACGTGGACAGAGATTATAGTCTTCTCCGTATAATTCTGATATTATGTATTAAAATTGACATTGCGATTTTCTACTTCCTACTTTTCTTCATCGCGTAAGAGCTATTTTCGAGAAATACTATTGTTACTAAGATTATTCGCTTCTTTCATCGTCTGTGCTCGTTATCCTTTTCTTGGTATAATATTGTAATATTGTACACTTGATAATATTAGCCATAAACCGCAATTGCCGACGTACAACTCGAGATTGAATTGCGAGTCTGTTAAATAGCAGCAATTCTGCCTTCATTACGTTGATGATCAATACAATTGGTATAGTACAGGAAATCGCGAAAGGGAAGAACAGCGTTACACGTAAAGAAGGATAAAGCTGAACTATTCATAGTAAAAAAAAAGAAAGAAAGAGAAAAAGCACAGAGGATCCGCTTTGGAAGCATTTTAACTTGGGGATTACGGACTGGCGCGCTTCAAATATTGTCGACTCGCGATTCCGGTCGTGAAAGAGAATGACGGAAGAAGGAAAGGCATGGTGAATAAGAGAGAAGTCAGAGTAGAGACTCGAGACTGCGTACAATGCATAAAACTAAACGTGTAGAGCGTGAATGTGTGATATTCGCGATATGTATGCACCAGTAGTCACAACTCAGCACATATATATACGAAACATTTATCAGACGGTTGTATACGTGGCATTTACTAGCTCATGCGTTTTCCCAATATCGTAGAAGCTGACTATTTTGCGAAATCGATACAATTATTTTGCGATAATATGGGATCCGATTTACGTCACGAGTTATATGTCCGAGGTGGCATGCTGTTACTGAATTAATG